CTTGCACTATTAAAGTAGATACAAATCTAAAAATTAAAATTTGTATCAAGTTGATGTCATTTCAAAAGCCATTTTCACCATTTTTAAATCTGCAATTTTCATTAAATGCTGAATTAAACTCTGCGAATACTCACCTCTGCTTCAGTGACCCGCAGTAATCTTCTCAATGGCTTCCAAGTCTTCGGCCATCTTGACTTGCCAGTGCAGGATGATACAACTCCCATGCAGTGCACTCATTCTAACACCAAGACACCATGCCGATAATTTACCCAGGGCTTTTTATATTTTAATTTTACTTAATTATACCTGAAGATCCTGCCATGAAGGACCTTGTTCAGGCACTTCCTGTTACAGAGTGTCCCTGTCTTCCAATTGTGCTCTTGTTGTATGGGTTTCCAATGGAGACTACAAGTGACCGAATTGGACCACATTTTGCAGGCACGGTCCACTGTTGTCACCACCAGGAAACCTACTCTGAGATTTACAATGCAGGCATCAACAGAGTGCATGTCGACAAAAAGAGGCAAAAAGGTAGGAGATCAGCAACATCAAGATGCAACTAAGGAATAAAAAAGTGAAAACAGATATTGTATAAAAAAAAAAAAAATGAGGACTACATGGGTTATGCTGCCACTTCCAGGCAAAACACGTACAAAACCCAAAAATAAAACAGGGAATCTCACTATAAAGCCACCTGAAAGACCTCATGCCCAAAACTGGTGCCCTCAGAGGTGTGAACATCTACCCCATAAAATTTAGTAAACACGGGAAGACAAGAATAGGTTGCATCCATACAACTGTTAACAGAAGCTTGATGCTAAAGAAGAAAGAAGGAACTTTGCCCTTGATAACATATGCCTGAGAAATGAGCTTACAATTCCACCTATAAATTGTGGCTTGAGAAGCAGCCTGAACATTGCAAGGACCTTCAGGCAGAACAAACTGAGAATCAGATTGTCAAAACAAAAATTATAGACTTCAGGTAATTTTGGACAGCTTTAACATCATCCAAAAACTGAAGCACCTTCTCCTTAAAACTCTACTTAAGCTGCGTACACACAAGAAGATTTCTGTTTTAAAAACATTTGCTCATACTCCTCCAATCTTTAATGTGGTCAAATCAATGTTAGGAGCAGGATTAAAATATATTTCTTGAACAAATTTCCAACACTGTATACGTTTATCGTTTGGTAAGGTCCTTTTACTCCAAAATCAAATGTTAAATGCAAATGAAATTTTGATCCACTTTTGAACGAAATCCATAAAGCCATCAAATGTACTGAAAAGTTTCAAAACAAACGTTCATTTGAAAATCTACTAGTGTATGCCCAACTTTAGGATTAGGACAAAAACAATGCTCGGATTCAAGTGAAAAAAAAACCAAACTACCATAGAGAAAATGGGATCAATGCCTTAACACCATCTTATTCTGATGAAGAATCAGGAAGGGTTTTTTTTGCAGAAAAATCGAGCCAACTCTGAGGCCCTGTGAGCTGATGTAACAGCAGCCAAAATAACAACCTTGTGGAGTGTTATGCGGATCTCTCGGAGAAGTAAAAAATAAATCAACAAAACAGACAAGATCAAATTACGATCTCACTAAAACAAGGAAGTCTGCAAAGTTAGAACATTCCATGTGACCATTCTGCACGAAGGCTTTTACCACGGAATGAGACACAATAGGTCACTGAAACAGGACGGCTAAAGCGGAGATCTGTTCCTTGATCTGGTGTGGAGACAACTCCACACCAGATTGAAGAAAATCCAGTATATGTTCCATGACATACTGTCAGGGATGAAATTTACGAGCATTACCCAGGGCAAAAAAAGGCTTTCCATGTATGGCGATACACCTTTCAGGAATTTGACTTTCTTGGCTTGCGGAGGGTATGGGTTAGATGGCCAGAAACAACAACCCTATCCCACAGAAATTGGGATTTACCAGCTATGCCATCAAAGCTAGCAACCTTAAAGCTGGATGGAAGATTGTATCCTGCAACAGCAATTTCAGCTGATTTGGAAGATCCCACAGCTTGACTGCCAAGACATTAACAATGTCTGCAGAAAACAGCCACAATGTACAAAAGACACTGTAGAACAAGATTGCCACCTGCTCCACCTGGCCCAGAGGCACTTACCAGTTCATGCTGCAGGGCCAGCAGGCCAAATCTTCAACCATCAGGTCGAGTGCATCCTCAAGGCCTTTAGAGACTTGACCCGCTGCTCTAGACTCCTGGATCCAGTGTCAGTTGGCAGCATTACAGTCTGTCCCTGCCCTTGCATGTGGGGCCCAGGTACAGTTATCTCTTGGCCTAATGGTTGTAGCAAAAGATCTGGATGAAGCCCTCCACTACCCCCCTCCCGGGGGCTAGAAACAAACCAGGAATTAGGGAAACTAAAGACCACAAAAGAAAATCTTCAAAGAGACATGGGTAGACACATCCATCACCTAGGTACACTAGCTAAAAACTGCCTTTTTAGCCACTGTCCATTCACCTGAATGTGGCAGTGTAACCCAAGTATTCATGAATATGAAGACCTCTGTGTCCTGTGAAGTACGATTAAGAAAGGGAATTATTTATGATACACAATGCTTTAACCAAACTAAATGGCATAGGTTTACAACTACTGCAATACATCTATTTAATGCTGGATTCCAGGCAGATATAAAAATATACAAATTAATGCAGCTCTGTCTTAATGAAGACATTATTAAATTTAATGCATTTTTGACACAATTCGTGTGAGCAGAGGAATTGGACCTGGCATCAACCAGTTACTTGCAGTCCCTGCAGAGCAGAGCTCAGGGGAGGAGGAAAAGCAGCACTAGGAAGCAATAAGTTGTGCTGCAGTGAAAGGAGCATGGTGATAGGAATACAGAGAAGAGTGATACATCTATAAAGTAAGCTTCCTTGCCTTTCATTGTCTAGTCACAGGCTAGGGGAGGGACAAGACCTGTAAAGTGTTAGTGAGCTGCAGCAGAAAAAAATCAAGTCTCCTGCCCCTGCTGGACAGTGTTGCAGAGCTCAAAACAACAAATCCTTTGGCAGGTAAAACATCTCTCAAACGCATTTCATCTGTGTATTTAGTGGTTTGCCTGACGTCCATCTTTACACTGCATTGGAACTTTAGCAATGCTTTAGGATATACTTGACCACTCATACTAGGTAAGGACTATGGCCCAATTATCCTGCCAATGTACTCTAAAGCCAAGTGTCAATCAACCTACTGGTCAGAGAAGTGAACAGGACACTAACCAAAGAGCATTTATATGAAATATGTTACTGTCATTCATGGATACATGAATGGATAGATATGATGGGCTATCAAAACTCAAGGCATTAAAAAAAAGAAGGCAGGGAGTGATATTTTCAAACACACAACACTGATAAAAATCGTCTATGATATTCTGTCAACTGCGAACAAATTATGGGGAGGGGACCAAAAGGTCCTCAACTAGAAATTGAAATAACACATTTTATTCTTCTATATTTTTTGTTCTAGAATAGTGAAGGAATGGAGCTTCTGTCCAGTTTATATTTGTCTGTGTCCCCTGTGATAACTAAAAGAGAGTAGAAACCCCTTTATAGGGACACACACAGCACTAAAACTTTACAGAACCTTGTAAAAGTTCAAAATCCTCTCCTTTTTACCAGTAAACAACTTTTATTGCCGTCTCTGTTCCTGTTAGGAAGATTCTGCTTACTTCCTGGCGTGTTATAAGTTTTAACACTTGTCCCCTCTAATCAAAACAAAATAGTTTTGGCAGGAACTCCAATAAGAAGAAGATATAAAGAACTCATTACTGGATTATTGCAACTCCTTAAACCTTCATGATATTGTGGAAGGATGAACAAAGCACAATATTTTATCCTGGTCCAGTACTAATTGTAATTCTGCATCCCCCCCGTACATGAGCAATGTTAAGGAAGAGAACTTCGGCGACTCAGACCAGTATCATTTAAACAGTTAGGGGTCTAGGATGTACTTTGCACATCTTAGAGTAACTGCTAGGATCTGCATTAACGCCTGGTTCACCTTATTGTGGCCCGCGTTTGCTCAGGCACTGCAGCCCATTCCTTTGAATGGGCTGCTGTGCCACGTGTCCGGCACAAAAAAAAGTGCATGCACCTTTAAAAAAAAACACAGCCACAGGGAAGCCTGCGGGTTCCCCCACCTGTGATCGAGCTGCAGGCGGAGATGTGTGGGGGTGCCTTTCAGAATGAATGGCAGCCCCACGCATCTAGCAAGACTACTCTTGCGAAATGTGTAGGGCTGCCATGTGGGTGTGGGAACAGGTGTGACTCCTGCACCCGCAGCCAGACTGTGGGCTAGTGTGAACCCTGTGTTAAGTGTGAGAGCCAAGAGTTAGTTCGGTGGCAAAACTGCAGACAGATGTCTTTACTGGTCCCTGTAAACAGGTACTTGTAAAAAGTAAACAAAAAATGATACATTCTAAATAGCTTTGGTGGCTATTAGGAGTAATTAATTATAATTTTTAAAAAATATACTTAACAGATCGAAAGAAAAAAAAAAAAAAAAAATCAGAAATATAATATTCATATGAACTTTTTTTTTGCTTCATTTGTATTATTTTTGTACATAATTTCATGCTTTATATCAGAAATGTACTCTAAAAGTGCAAAAAGCCAGTATGCAGTTTACATAAGATACCAAGACTTCTCTTGTGGTGTGTGTTTGAAGCGAATATGGTTTGAAGGCTTACTGTATTCGCACAATTAGCAGATAGATGCCAGGCTTCTCCTAGCAGACAGACACAAACTCTTAGGTACAGGAGGGGCAGTCTTAGGTCTTAGGTACAGGAGGGGCAGTCTGCAAACCTGGAGCACACACCCTTAACTGCCTCCCGCCTGCCATATAGTACAATGACAGGCGCAAGGCGGTTCTCTCATTCTGGGAGGACATATGATGTCCTCCCATTCTAACTGCGCATGCACGGCTCCAGGAGCACGCAGTGCCACGATCGGCGGTGCGCTGTGTCCCTCGGACACAGCGGATCAGCGATCAACGGAAAGAGCCGAAAATGTCAGCTCGGTCATGTGATCAGCTGTGTCCAATCACAGCTGATCGCATGTTAATAGGGAAATGCCAGTTATCGGCATTTCTCTCCTCACGAGCTGTCACGTTGACAGCTCGAGAGCAGAGCAGAGCCGGTAATCGGCATTCCTCAGAGGGGACATGTACACTGATCATCAGGGCACTGATGATCAGTGTGCCCTGATGATCTGTGTAGCCCCAGCAGTGCCACCTGTCAGTGCCCATCAGTGCCACCTGCCAGTGCCCATCAGTGCCACATCAATGCCACATAGTGCCTACCAGTGCACATCAATGCCACATATCAGTGCCCATCTGAGCTGCCTTTCAGTGTCACCTATCAGTGCCAGTCAGTGCCACCTATTAATGCTGCCAATCAGTGCCACCTATCAATGCTTCCAATCAGTGCCACCTATCAGTGCCAGTCAGTGCCGCCTATCAGTGTGCATCAGTGCCGCCTATCAGTGTGCATCAGTGCCACCTATCAGTGCCATATATGAGTGCTGCCTTTCAGTGCCCATCAGTGCCACCTACCAGTACCTCCTCATCAGTGCCACCTATCAGTGCCATATATGAGTGCTGCCTTTCAGTGCCCATCAGTGCCACCTACCAGTACCTCCTCATCAGTGCCACCTATCAGTGTCCATGAGTGTAGCCTATCAGTGCCCATCACTGCAGCCTCATTAGCGCACATCAGTGAAGGAGAAAAATCACTTATTTACAAAATTTTATAACAAACACTAAGAAATTTCAAAATTTTCAGTGGTTTTTGGTTTAAGAAAAAATAAAAAACCCAGAGGTGATTAAATACCACCAAAATAGAGCTCTGTCACAAAAAAATTATAAAAATTTCACATGAGTACAGTGTTGCATGACCGCGCAATTGTCATTCAAAGTGTGACAGCGATGAAAGCTGGAAATTAGCCTGGGGAGGAAGGGGGTATAAGTGCCCTGTAGGCGAGTGGTTAAAAAGTATTATGTGGTGGCATCTCCCCATGTCTGCTTTCAACAGGCTCATTTCCAGTGTCCTACAGCATACTTTGTCACTAAGGATTGGACTTTTCCAGCTTGGAAAATAAACCTTGCTACTGTAACCAAGCCTTACCTATTATCACATGGATGAACAGGACAGGTGGTGGGTACAGATTAATTCCCAAACTTGGGAAGTGGACTGGAATTTATGTCCTGTATGCACTTCCGGCCCAAGCTTTTGGCTCTGGGCTCCGATGTGCGTTCCACTGTATACATCTGCACCCACATAGGTGGATACATTATAGAGAATCCTCCTTTACACCAAAAATAAGGGAACACAGGAACAGTGTTAAAATACTTGATATGTATCATGATTGGTTAATCACTGATGGTGAAAGTCTGTAATTATAGTGGGGATACCTCTCCTTTGGACCCTTCCAGCTTCTGTTACTAATGCAAATCCTTTATTATATATGTCATGAGATGGGTGATTTATATTGATTTCTTACGTCGTTTAGTTTTTTAGTTTGCATGGTGGTATTAAATATCTGTCTTTTAATTGGATGCCTGTACTTGGCATATGCTGATTGGGGCATAAAGATTTCTTGGCTGGTACCTCTTTCCCCTTTGGTAGACCCTTTCCTTTTTTGTCAGGGATGTGCTCCAGATCGTCAAGTCAAAATCATGAGTATGTGTGTGTGTGTGTATATATAGAACTGAAGGAACTAAACTGTTTGGCTCTGAGAAAAAAGGTTGATCCTTCAAAACGTGTCAGCCAAATCGAGATCCTGAGGTCCCCTTGGGCTCTGGAGGTTGCTAAGTCGCATGTATTTTGTAGCTTGATATACTTTTTATTTCTGATGTCTGTAAATATATTTTTATGTGGTTTTATAATAAAAGTTGTGGGATAATGCACTAGGTTGATTCACCCTCTTTTTGTGTTTTGGGGAAGCCTAGGCCTTAGTCACAGATTTTTTCTATGTTTAGGATAAAAGCAGGCATCTTTGGTCTAAGGCAGGCCGTTTGGTGTCAGAAATTTAGCATGGCAGGTTTCCCTTCTTTGGGCAATGGTTTACACCACACAACTCATTCACTTACAGCCATTTGTCCAAAGCTGCGGACACCTTTTCTGGGAGTGAAAACTGGTTATTCACCACTAACCTGTCATGCTGCTGCCACTGGAGATTTTAGGACCTAGGAGAACCCTGAAAATGGGAACTGCTCACTTTACTCGGTAGCTGTGTGGGCTCCCGAAAAAAAAACCCTTCCACTCTGCAGTTCAGAAGACCTGGGACCCAACATGTGACCAAGGAATCAGGTAAATATTGACCCATACAGGTAGCGTTTTTTTTAAACGTGTTCATATTTAGTATGTGTGTGTGATAAGCCTAGGGATCAGCTTTAACACATTGTTCTGATCTAATGAAACAGCAAGATATTGCCTGCAAACGAGTAGCTGCTGAAATCAACAAAGTAACATACCAAGCTAAAATTTATGTTCAGTTATCTAAGTTGAAGGACTAAATAAAAGCTCAGTTTGAGCTGTAACCACATAAACAAATTCCCACCAGCAATCATAAGGGTACACAGCAGACAAATATTTACCAGTGTATAAAAATAGATACCAAGAAGGGTAGAATCTTAGGTTAATTTGGATAGAAAGCATTTACCTCTATCCGCCTGGGAATAGCGACATCCTCGTGTCTCTTTAGCTCTTCGAATGTCTTAAACTCCAAGTTCGCCTGCTCGTACTGATCCCAGATCTCATTGAGCTGTTTTATAAGTCCCATGGCTCGAGACTGATAACCGCCAAGTAAAATTTTCAGTTTCTTCTCCATCTTAGCCGCTCTTTTGGCTTCTGCAGTCATGTGAGCCCTGTTAATCTGAAAAGATAAAATGACCATTCATTTAGACAACAGTCTTTGAGGAAACCAATATTAACAAGAATTCCTTATCAGAAACTGGAAGGCTGGTGGACATTTCAAAGGAAAAACCCTATAGTGGATTTGGTACTACAAATATTACAAAATGGTTAGGTAAACTAGATATAAATCCAATCACTAAAATCTCAACTAAGCTTTAAAATGTCAAAGAAATTTCAAAAGTGATATGCAGGTTTTTGAATTCTGCAGCTTTCATCAAAATAGCAGCACATGGTCCTGCCATGAAGTTCCTTTTACTAACAATTCTTTTTTAAAAAGCGATGTTTTGTTCTGGTCTCCAAACTGTGTTCCTGTCTTGAAACTAATACAATGATAGTGCTATTACCCATATATCTTGATTCCATAGAGACCAGTGGTGCCCAATCCACAGTTGCTCAGCTGTGTATGATACTTAGTAGAAAAAGGGATCCACACGACCGTAGTTGCTCTTAAGATTCTTGCATTTATTGAGAGAGCACAGAGTAAAAGTTGCAAATACAAAAAGTTGACATATGTCAGCCTACATGGCTTTAGTCATAACTGTTATGAGAAAAGCCATGTAGGCTGAAATGCGACAAGTTTCTGTATTTGCAACTTTTACACTGTGCTCTCTCAATAAATGCAAGAATCTTAAGAGCAACTACAGTTGTGCGGATCCATTTTCTACTGTGTTCCTGCCTTGTCATGTCTCCTTCCAATGGAGACACAAGTGGTCTTTTCAGAATATATTTATCAGAGGTGGTTGTCAGAATGGGAAGGCAACAGAGACACTGTTGTCTTAATCATGAGTGCATGTAGACAGGATGGAGTTACAAAAGGTGACAGGAGATTAGCAGCTATGAGATGCAACAAAGGATGAGAAAAAAAAAATAAACGCGTTTGTGATATGCAGTACCGAAACAGAAAATTACATCTCTAGAGGCATTCAGAATACTCATCATCCTACACACAGGATTCAGCTTGTACATGAGCAGTGTGTACAGCAAGCTTCAACAAAGCAATTGCAAAGATTTCAGTAAGCTTCAAGCCGATTTTCTGAAGTCTTTGAAGCAACCTACTGCTCTAGTTTGGGGCTCTTAAGCTAGCCCTAGATGGATCAAAGTTTGGATGTTTCAGCAGGGAACGGCCAAATTTTGATTATATGTGGCTTTTTTTTTTTCCATTTGAAAAGAGTCAAGTTAACCATTAGCCGCCTGGCCAATGGCCGTTTGGCGGCTTCAAAAGTGCTTCGGCATTCCGGGTGCACGCCATTTGGCGGACTCCCGCACATGCGCAGTTTGCGCTCCTGCAGAGCCGCGCAGCGGCGTGATCTGTCACCGGCCGTGTACCTCGGACATGGCCGATGACAGATCTGAGTACCGGCTCCCGTTGCTGGTACCATGTGACCTGCTGTGACCAATCACAGCAGGTCACATGACAGTTGTATACAATGGATGGCTTCATTCATGCCATCCATTGTATACTAGTGCCTAGCTGTGAATGGTCACAGCTAATCACATGCACATGTCATGTGATTAGCTGTGACCAAATCACAGCTAAGCACAAAAAAAAAAAAAAAAAAAAAAAAAATATATATATATTTTTTTTTTTATACTGTCACCAGTCAGTGTCCCTGATCACCGCCATGCCAGTTATATGATGACGCTGTACTGCACTGGTGACAATATGTAAAAAAAAAAAATAGTGAAAATTTTTTTAATTTTTTCATTTTCCAAAAAATTATGACAAAAAAAATACAACTTCAAAAAACTCGCCATTCCTCTTATGAAGTACGTCGGACTGTCTACTCTGCAAAAAGGGGTCATTTGGGGGATATCTGTACTGTTCTGACATTCTTGGACCTCAAGAAATTAGATTGGCTGTCAGTACTTCTGGATTGATCAATATTCAGATCTATACTATAGTTTGTGAACTCTATAACTTTCCTACAAACTAAATAATACATCCTAATTTGGGTTATTTTCACCAAAGACATGTAGCAGAATACATCTCGGCCTAAATTTATGAAGAACAATTATTTATTTGTAAACTTTTATAACAGAAACAAAGAAAAACGTGTTTTTTTTTTTCAAAATTTTTGGTCTTTTTTTGTTAATTTAACAAAAAATAAAAACCCCAACGGTGATTAAATACCACCAAAAGAAAGCTCTAGTTGTGTGAAGAAAATGATAAAATTTTAGTTTGGGTACAATGTTGTATGACCGCGCAATTGTCATTCAAAGTGTGAGAGCGCTGAAACCTGAAAAATGGCCTGGGCAGGAAGGTGTAAAATTGCACGGTATTGAAATGGTTAACGATCAACTACTCTCGAATGGGCCGGTTTGTAAATTTTCATTCTATCAACGCCTGCAGCCAAACAGCTGCAGAGCTGATCAGTGTATTCCAGCAGTGGAGGAGTCCTGGCTGTCAGAATACAATAGCACAATGGGGAAAATTCCTCCATCTATCTTGTTTGTGTGAATGGGGCAAATCCTGGCTGATAAAAATAAAAAAGCGTCATCTATGGCCAGCTTTATTGGAAGTGCTGTCAATTAAAACACGCTGTGAGCAACCTTGTGCACAAGCTCCAGCCATAGAAGCATACACACACACAAAATTAATATAGCTTTATTTACGGCATGCATCATAAGGGGTTAAAGAAAGCATCTTACACATAGCACTGCCCTTGTAAGTCAGAAATCAGTGCTAGAATGCAGACACAGCTTGACATGTTTCAGTCTAATGTTCCGTCAAACATCAGACAACAGCAGACAGCCGTGGTCCTGCTGCACATCACAGAAGCCCATTCACAGTACAATTGCACAACTTCTCTGGCATAATAAATGAGGTTTGGTTGTCTGTGGATATTCTGACGAAGGATCGTACGAACAACCGTCAAGCAAGAACACCGAGCCAAATGAAATACAGGGCAAAAGTTCACCGCCATACAATCTGAATATGTTAGGAGTAAAGATGCATTGAGACAGGCACAGGATTGCATAAAGGCCCTTTGTGACTGCTCTATATATGGTTTCACAGAATGCAAATTCATACAGACTGTTATTTTAGAATGAGCATGAGAACGATTCCTGGAGGGTCATCTTCAGAACAAGGCACACTTTCTGGAGCAATACAGAAGATCCAGGCCAGCATCTCTCAACTGCAGTTCTGTGGATCCCTTGGGGATTATTCTAGAGGTTGTTAGAGGTTCCTTGAGCTATGAGTAATTTCTACTTCTCAGACAGAGAAAACGATCATTGTTGTCAGTGGTTGCCTATCTGTAAGGTGAGAGATTCTTCCCAATAACCATCAATGTACAGTACTGTACCATGAGCTGTAATACATATTAAATACCAGCAAGAGCTTACTGAGACCAGAAAGGTTTTCCAGGGTTCCTCCAAGTTAAACAGGTGGAGAAAGACTGCTCTGGGGACATCAAAGTAGACTGGTCTGCTTTCCAATGATGTCCATAACAGTCAAAGCACAGACAGTTTACAGAGTCACTGATGCCTTCCCATTCAGGGCAGAGTGACCATGCCTCCGGACAGCCCACCCCCTCAGCAATGTATATTCACCAAACCACACTCTGCAATTGCCTCACCGCTGCAAGAGTCCACCATGAGTTCTGATGTCAGAGCTTATCAGGTGGATGATGTCACAGCCCTGCTTTCCCATATGACAATGTTTGAGCTTGGCAATAGGCCACTAAGTCCTAAGCACACATTCCTACATACTCAGAAGCCTCACTCCATTAGTGGTATTACCTTGTCTGCGGTTGTTTTTTTTTTTTTCTTCTCACTTTAGGTGGTGGCTGTTTTTAGATCTCCATAGAAATTCCCCCCTTCTCTGGTTCTTGTCTTGACTCCATTCCTTTACCGGAATCCATAAAGCCTCCTTTGCGAGCACTCTCCCGCCCAGCTCTGTGGACAAGTCTCCTTACATCAACAGAAGTTCATAGCTGAAGTGGCAAGCCATGCACCAGCTCCCTTCTCCAGCTGCTCAATGACAGCGGTTTAAAGCCTGAGCTTTCCCTGGTTTTCCTTTCAAGTGAAGGGCACGGGGAGCAAGCTGCACTACCTGGAAGTGGTGCTGTTGATCTGGCATTGGTGGTGGTGAGCACAAAGGGCAAGTAAATGTTTGGGCATGGATATAAGAAAAAGAAAATGTACTAGGTGATGGTACACTGACATTAACCAGTACATCTTAGAATTGCAGAGAGTTTATAGGATAAATTTGGGATATAATAAACAATTATATATACGCTCACCTAGAAGGCTGCAGCATCGATCCAATGCTGCATCTGTCCCTGGCCTCTACACATAGAAATGAGTGATCAAAGACCATTGATCGCTCAGCTCTCAGTCTTCAGTGAGCAGAGAGTGGCAATGGTCAGGCACTGTCTCTCTGCTTTGTCCCTCCAGTGCTCACTGGAGCACATGGCTGTGGAGCGGGTGGGAGCAGCTGGCGCAGGCACTCAGTGGCTCGCTGTGAGGCTGAGCCAGATGCTGGGTAGGAATTTCAATGGAACGCTACTTTAAAATCAGAGTCTCTCCAGAGCCTGGATCATCTCAGTGATGTAAACCGACAGTAAGCTTTAGCCCACTGTCGGCTGAATATGGGTCACAGCCTGAAGTTCAGAACTAAGTGCACTCCTGTGATCCCCAAGACAAAGTAGGGCAAAAATAGCTCTGGCCCCCACTTCTCCTTTAAGATTGTTTCACGCAACAGAGGGAGGAAGTCTCTTTAAAAAAATACGCCACCTTTAATCCTATTTTCCAGTCCTTCTATTCTCCAAAATCACTTCATTTTGCGCATTGTGATTAGAATGGTTTTCAAGTGCTGGAGGCCTCCTAACCTGCATTCAAATACAACAATGCTCGAGTTGAGCTCAGCGTTGGATGTCCTACATGGCACCTGACATCTTATGATGTAAAGCAGTACTCCAGTCACACTTTAAAATTAAAATCTGTAAAAAAAAACAA